CATCAGATTGACTACATCCTAGTGCGCTCACGCTGGATCTCCTCGGTGGAGGACTGCCGATCCTATCGCGGCGCAGAGGCCGGAAACAAAGGGGGATCAGACCATACTCTAGTTCGGGCGAAATTCAAACTTCGTTTAACAACACGCCAGAAGGTGCGACCTCCGAAGCGTATCAATGTTGCCCCGCTTCAATGTGCGATAAAGCGACAAGCCTTGTCCAAACAAATCCAGGCCGAACTAAGCGCCGCAGATGAGCCAACATCCACATCTTCTAATACACCTGAGACACGATGGAATCATTTCAAAGAAGTAGTCTCTAAAGCTTCAATGTCGCATTTGGGTACCACATCCAACAAACAGAAAGACTGGATTTCAGAGCACACTATGCAACTATCCTCGCAAGCCAGAGACGCTCGCCTAGCAAAGTCTCCAGTTTATCGCTCCCTCAGGCGCAAAGCTACACAGTCTGCTAGGAATGATAGAAATCGCTATTGGTCTAATGTGGCGACTAACATGGAAGGAGCATCAAATGTAGGCGATTTCGGAAAACTTCATCGCCTTATACGCCTATCATCTGGCAAACGCCTTAACAGCCATGCTGTGTTACGCACAGAATCAGGAGAAATTATTTCGGACACCAATGGTAAGATGGAACGATGGGCCGAACATTTCAAGCAGCTACTCAATCGCAACTCTGGTCAACCGCCTCATCGACCGATACAACACTTACCAACACCCTACGTAGTTGACTGCGATCCACCCACTCCAACCGAAATAGCTAAAACAATTAACAGACTCAAGAACAAGAAAGCTCCGGGCGAAGATGGTCTACCTCCAGAAATATACAAGGCCTGCACTCCAGCGCTAATCGATTCGCTGCACTCGCTATTCTGCTCAATTTGGGATTCCGAAACCATTCCTTCCGATTGGAGCACATCAGTTTTGCTACCGTTCCACAAAAAGGGAGACAGGTCAATATGTGAGAACTACCGAGGCATAAGTCTGATTGATATCGCTGCTAAGGTTTTTGTTTCCATTCTCCTGAACCGCTTCGCTGCCGAACGCCACGTGCGAACAAGGCCAAATCAAGCCGGATTTCGACCTGGAAGAGGCTGTATTGATCAATTATTCACACTACGAAGAATTTTGGAACACAGGGACAAATATCAACAGCCGACGGTTGCTTGTTTCATCGACTTCCGAGCTGCATTCGATTCAGTTGATCGAGGAGCACTCTGGTATCTAATGGAGCTCGACGGAGTTCCGACCAAGCTAATCAACCTGCTCAGGTCATACTACTCCAACACCACAGCTCGAGTCCGAGTGAACGGTGAAGAGTCTCGCACTTTTGAGGTAACCAGCGGTGTCCGGCAAGGTTGTCCAGCATCCCCCATTCTGTTCAATTTCACAATTGATTGGATTTTGCGGCACGCCCTAACCGAGCACCACGGCGTCCAACTTTCGCCCGATATTCACATAACCGACCTCGAATTCGCCGACGACGTCGTGTTACTAGCTGAAAACTTCCCCGATATGCAACAGGCGCTCGATCAGATAAACCACCTCGCGTCTACCATCGGTTTGGAAATCAACACTTCCAAAACCAAAATGTTTTCGAACACACCCACCAGCAATGATGAAATCTTATACCTGAATGGAGCACCTATTGAAATTGTACCATCCTTCAGATATCTGGGATCCATAATGCTTCCCAACGGTCAAGCGAAAAACGAAGTGAATGCGCGGATCTCCAACGCCCGGAATGCGTTTCTTCAGCTGAGAAGCGTTCTATGGAGCAAGAGGGAAATCAGTCTCAGGACTAAAATTCGGGTTTACCAAGCCTCCATACGATCCGTTCTCCTGTATGGCTGTGAAACCTGGCCTCTTCGCGCGGAAGATGTACGCAGACTTGAGGTAGTAGACCATTGGTGCCTCAGGTACATTCTGCATGTTCGTTGGCAGGACAAACTCTCCAACGAAGAAGTGCGTCGTCGTTGCTACAACACCAACCAAATTCAAGTACTGGTCCAACAACGTCGCCTTCGGTGGTTTGGCCATGTTCTGCGCCGACCAGATGATGACCTGCTCAAATCAGTTCTAAATCCCTCGCCATTACCATCTTGGCGATGTCGCAGGGGTGGACAGCTGAAAACATGGCTTGGTACAGTCAAGGCTGATATGGAGTGCCTGGGGCTACAAACCGTCTACGGACTCCGTCTGTGGAAGAAGAATTGGATAACCCTGTCGCAAAACCTTGCATCAGATCGCCGCGCCTGGGCAGCGATGATTCGAGATGTTCATGAAGCCGGCTCATCCTCTCGTAGGAGATAGCCGAAGTAAAGTAAAGTAAGTGACTCAATTAAGCTCAGGCGGTCGACTTCCAATTAGTGGATCACGGTTTCTAACCCCTCTACACCTGCTGAGGTTTGGGCAGCCAACCAGCTATTTATAGTCAACTAGCCCTCCTCATACAGTAGGTATGGCTCATTGCCAACTAGCAGTTGTTGTTGTTGTTCCTGTTGGTTGAAACATTATTGTTTCCTCTCTTTCAATTGTTATTTCCACTAGGAGTTCTGATGGTCGTGAATTGATGGCTTGTTCACTAGACGGTTCTGTTTGCTATATGGGTTTTACGCATAAAGAATTAGGAACTCCATGGTCTCTTCAAGAAGTTGTAAGTTGTTCCTTTTTTTGCTGAATCAAATTTTTATTTAACCTGGTGTTTTTAATCAGGTGAGTAAACAGTACAAGTTATCCGATTGACTGGTTTTCAGGTGGTTTCAGTAACGGATTAATAGAACTTGAAGTAAATTTTAAAAAAATGGCTAGGCGTTAGTACTCAAACCTCTCAAGGTGGTTCCTTACACCATGTCGATTCTGAATTCAATCTTTGAGGAAAACATTCAACCGATCGGGGATTTCTTCACTGGCGATAACCTCAGCTACTGTTGTTAAATATCAAATGGTTGTCGTTAATAACTCCTCTTTTATGAGACATCATGCTTGAAACATACATGGATAAGTTCCGGTCTGGAGATAGATCCAAGTCAGTATTGTTTTAATCTGTTCAGTTCGAGAGTTTCTAGTACATTAGTACTAATTGTGTAATGCAAAGTTCTTCGGTTCGATGGCAGAATCATCACATAAACCATTTTACTTGCTCTGGGATTCGATTCTTGGCTGATGTACTCTTAAATCTTGTCGTTCAATTTACTGGCCGAAAGTCAGCTAGGGAAAGAAGAATTGGTTGGGTATGAGACTGGCGAAAGAATCTAAACTTGCTTACATCGTTATGTTTGTGTGTCATAAAATGTAAACAATTCCTATGGGGGACAAGACAAATAAAAACAGTGTAAATTTTTTCGTGCACCACCGGCATTTGTCGAAGAATTATTGAAAACCAAGAGTCATTGGATGGCTGTTTCGTCCTACTTTGGATATCTTCAGAAGTGTGCACACCTGCGATGCCACCAGGGATCGAGTTGACAGAAGTTAAGATTTACAGGTCAGTGTCTGAATAGTCGATGTGTTGGCTTCGTAACCAGAAGGTTCTGACTTTGACTCACAGTCACTGAATTCCCAAACTATTTCTGTTGCATTACATAAACGGATGTTAAATTGCTATGGGTTGTCAGGACGAAACATCTGTCCAGTACTCGAGTGCTGGTTTTCCAATGGTTCTCTAACCGATGTCAGTTCATGATGAAATCCTGTATCCAAATCAATAAAATCCCTATAAACCAATACTTGAATATCAATGAGGTGCACACTGGCGACTGGCCCTATTCAGCGTAATAAAACTACTTAATGTATGCATTCCTTAGTTATCTTTTCTTTTTCATCACCATGTTTTAAGTGTTTGGAGGTAGGTTGTCTAAACTGGGTGCTTTGTAGCGTTTCACTACCTGAAGTTCTTTTCGAACCTCCACTTGATTTGGTGGGTCGGTATTCACCAACTATGGAACACTAGTTAATGATGTTGGATGATAGCTCTGTTGGTTAGTTAAACGGCCTCTCTAAGTGCTCTGCCCAGCGTTGCAGGCGTCTCTTCAGACAGGTATTCGGTGTTCCGTCTACCTCACGGGGACGTCTTGCTGACACCATACTTCTTACTGCTGGTTGGAACAGCTTCCTGCTACTACTAAATATAACCACTGATTTCATTTCATACGTGTATGTTCTGATCATTGTGCTCCTAGGACTTTAATTAAACACCGTTTAATCTTACGTATGAGAGTCTTGCAGGTTTAGCCAATGTTCATCTATATCTCTTATTGGGTTACTAGTGTGGTGAGAGCTATCTGCCAGCCAAAATTGTTAGACAACAATTCACTTCAATCATCTTGTCCCGAATCGGGGTCACGAGAAAAAAAGCAATAACAAAGCCTAATCTTAAGGAACTCACCAACTAATCACAGCAGACTTAAGGTATGTAAATGTATGATTCGCATATATATGGCTTAACTTTCTAAGAAACGGTCACAAGCAGCACAGAATGACCCTCAGCAAGAAAACAACTAATCAGTAGACGTTGCTTCTCCGCTGACAATAATGTACATAAAAATCTATAAATATCTCTTGATTTTCTCAATAAACAATCTGTTACTTGGCTCTTGTCTTTTGTCGTTACACTAGCTAACCCTGAGTTTTACTCAGCCGGGTACTTCTCAGTGTTAGAGAACGGCTTTTATTGGTCACCACCGAATTTCAAGATGAACCTGGTGCATACTATAGTATAATCGGAGTCTTGTGGCTGTATTCATCTACACTATCGGAAACTCATATCAATGTGATAAATCTGAGTCCGTGCTCACTTGTTCTATCTCTATTTGCTTTATAAAAGATAACGTTTTATTACTTTTTGTGTGGCGTAGTATCACTTGATGCTCATAAATGTATCAAGTTTATATTTCTTATAATAGTAATAATTAATGTTTTTTTTGTTGTGTTCTTTTTTTCAAACCTTGATAACATTCCTAATTCTGTTTTTTTTTGTTTAGATTAAACTACATCACAAAGTATATGGACAAAGTTCACTAGACAAATTTCATCCTATTTCATCGAATGGTTTATCAACAGATCCAACGGATGAGAATAAAGATAATTCGGGTGTGTTAAATGAAAGTGATATACTACTTGAAACTCCTGAAGCTTTAGCCCTGCAGAAAACACAAGCTGAACTGCGTACTAAGTTGAAAAATCCACCGACACGAACGAAAGAAGTAAAGTCTCTTCCAAGAGGGGTAGGTACTATTCTCTCTTTTCTTGGTTTGTACTTGCTATGTAAGCACCCTGATGTAATAAGTGATGCTGTCAGTATTATCTATTATTATTATTTCCTCTAATTCCTAGAGGAACATAGGGCTTCAGCCATGCGTCTCCATTGCATTCGGTTCTCTGCTAGAGTCTTCCTCTGGCTCCAAGTCCGCCCACACGCGTTCATCTCCTCTTCACATGACCTCCTTCAAGTCACCCTTGGACGACCAACTCGCCGCTTCCCTTTCGGGTTCCACTCGAGCAATGGCTTGTCTAGTGATGTCACTTGATGGTCTCCTTAGAGTATGGCCACCTGCTGCTTTTCTGGCTTTCAGCATCTGGATTGCCTTCAGGACTTCTGTTCTCGTCGGGGGTTGATGTTCATTGGTAATTCTGCTTCCGTTGTTGGTATTGTTGAGCGCGTTGTAGGTGGCGGCCGATTTAGAAGTCTTTTGAAGTGTTCAGCCCAGTGTTTCCTCCGCTCCACTTCTTTGGTGACTGACTTTGCATTGGCGTCCTTCACTGGCTTAATTTGTGTCCAACTTTCACCCGAAAGGTACCTAGTTGTTTGATAGAGTGTTGCGAGGTCTCCTTGTTATCTATATTTGTCTATAATACTTTTTGAAACACTAACTGATTGACTGACTGGTTTCAACGTAGAACTTTGCACAGATGTGCACCAGTTCCAGTTGCCATACTCCCTCCACTTAGCACACAAAGCAAGAGAAAAGAGTAAAGAAAGGTTCAACACAAGAGAGACAATAGAAGGAAATATGACGCAAAGGAATAGTAATGTGGAAGAACAATAGAATTTTATTGTTTATTATGAGTCATAAAGAATGAATGCATCTGCTCCAACCTTTGATAACAATTTTGAGCCATACCACCAATTTAATTGAGGGATGGGGACTAGCAGTGGAATCCAGGATGCACATTTCATCCCAGTTTGGACTCGTCGTCTGGATGTACCTGCATTCCCCAGTGAATGATGATGTTCCTACCGGGGCTCGAACCCAGTACCCATAGTTTTAAACGCGAAAACATTATCCACTAGACCACGTGGGTCACGAGAGCCACCTCTTGTGCAACGAGTCATATTAATTATTTAATTGAATTTTAGATTTTCCCGTCGATTGATTGGACCGAAGTGCTCGGTCTCACCAACTGTCTCCAGCCTTCATTGATGTTTACCTTCTCGAGGACCCCAACCGTGAAGTCTACACCTCTTTACATGACTGGCTTAAATTAACTGTTATGGATTTCATTGACTGATGAAGCCATGTTTTGGTTTGACCACTACTAGCTCTTATCCAACCTCGGTCGGTCGGTCGGTTTTCGACATAGAACTTTGCACATATGTGCGGCAGTTCAAGTCGCCACACTCCATGTAGCACACAAAGCAAGAGAAGAAAGTAGAAGAACTGCATAATATAGACAGTAAACAGAGGCGTGAGACAAAGGAATAGTAATAACGAAAAACAAAACAGTTTAATTGGGTATTATAAGTCACAAGGAGTGGATGCATCTGCGCTAGCCACTGAGAACGATTTTGAGCCATGTCACCAATTGTTTCCAACCATTGGTTTTCACCGTCCCGAGGACCCCAACCAGGAAGTCTGCACCTTCCTACGTGGCTTAGACTGACTGTTGTGGATTTCATTGACTGGTGCTATGTTTTCATTTGACCGCCGCTAGCTCTTTTCCTGCCTGGCCCTATATCAACTAACATTGCCTGTTGTCGAGGAAGGCTATGACTAGGCATACGCAACACATGTCCTAACCATCTCAATCAATGTAACTTCACAGTTTCGTCTATTGATTCCCCCTCCTTACCTAGCACTCGACGCCTAAGCTGAGTATTCAATCTCAATACTTGAAACACTAATTACTCTATTTAGTCCTTTATTCATTTGTTCTACAAAAGAGTGGTTCTGATTTTTTTTCTCGTTATGAAAACCGAATCACCACACTATTTATTTCGATAAAATAATAACAAGAAATAATTTGCCGTATTATTTTGTCGAAATTCACACAGGGAATTGATCGTTCCAGGTAAAATATTAATTATTATACCCATTCCACTCGGTTCTTTGCAGTCTTTTGAAGCTAGAGTCACGACTGCGCATAACCTTGCATTTCCTCCCCATGTTACCCTTGGACCTATATTCAACTCGCCGTTTCCTATATGGATTCTACTCGAGGGCCTGCCTACCTGGGTGCTACCACTTAGTGGTCTCCTCACTGTGTGTCCAATTCAACTCCATTTGTGGAGCAATAGGTTCTTGGTTGGTTCATTGCCTGACGGGGTTTATTTTCGCTCATCCTTTGTGGCCGTCTGATCTTCATTATAGAGCGAAGGAAGTTGTTGATAAAATTCCGAAGTAGCCGGTAAGAAATGCTATTGGTAACCCATCAAATCAATGACCGAAACAGAAGAACTGACTCAACATTGGTGTTGAAAACTGAGATCTTGTTCCCTGTGCTAAGTGGAACAGATTCGCAAACTGATTTTACAGTGATGAAGGTTTGGCTTACATTTCCTATGCTGTCTTTGACATCCTTATCCTTGCCGCCTGTAGTTGAAATTGCGCTGCCTAGATAAGTGGAAAAAAGTGACTTGCTTCAAATTTCTCCCGTCTGTGTTGTTTGGCCCTTGTTGTTGTTAGTGGGTTATATATTCATTACTTCCGTCTTCTCTACGTTCACTTGAAATCCTGTCTTTGGCGTTCCTTCCGCCAACTTGTTTGTTTTCTCCTATAGATCTTCCAGTTTTTATGACATTAAACATAAATCGTCTGCGTAGTCCAGATCTTCTAAAGTTTACTCATCGTTCCGACGTATTCTTATCTTTTCGCTCCCCACAATCTGGCGCATGATCCAGTTTACCACAATAAAGAAGAGTAGACAGCCATGTCTTACTCCTATCTTCACTTTGAAAGCTTCTCTGAGTTTTTGGTTGTCGATTACTTGATATGTGGCATTGACATATAGAGCTGTTGAATGAGGTTGATAAAGATTTGAGGCACTGCACGCCGCAGCGTTGAATTGGTTTCCAAATTACTTCATGATCAACGCGGTCGAAGTCTCTTTCGAAATCTATGAAGTTGAAATATAAATTTTACTGGTGTTCTGTCTGCCTGTCTGTCTGTTTTCAACATAGAACTTTGCACCGATGTGCAGCAGTTCAAGTCGCCACACTCCATGTAGCACACAAAGCCTGAGAAGAAAGTAAAAAGAAAGGCAAGATAGAGACAGTAAAGAGAGATGTGAGGCAAAAAGCATAGTAATATCGAAGAACCGTATAGTTTTATTGGATATTACAAATCACAAACAGTGAAGGTATCTGCGCCATTGAAAACGATTTCGAGCTAGCCGTATTACCCATTGTCTCCAGCTATCGGTGTCTGCCATCCAGAGGACCCCAATCTAGGAAGTCTACATCTCCCTATGTAGCAGGTGGCTTAAACTATCTGTTGTGGATTTCAGTGACTGATGAAGCCGTGTTTTGGTTTGACCATCAGAGGCTCTTCTCCAACCTGACCCTATATCAGCTAACATCGCCCGTCGAGGAAGGCGATGGCTAGTCTAGGCATGCGTAACACATGTTTTAACCATCTCAATCGATGTAGTTGTTTCGCAGCCTCGTCGATGGGTTTCCCCTTCTTACCTAGCACTACACTGAGGCCTAACCTCAATATTGCTCACTCTATTATAACACCACGTGACATGGGCGATAGGACGCAGGTACCTATGATCAAAGACAGTTAGCCTTTTCATGTCTTCCACTCTCAATGGCCAGGTCTTACAGCCATAAAGGAGGACGGATGGGACTGCTGAGGTGTACACACGCCTTTTTGTCGATAGCCGTATATCATGTCTACGTCAGAGACGGCGTAAACTGGTATATGCGAAACTAGCCTTCTGTATCCGTGCTGAGATTTCGTCAGCGACCAATCCGCTGGCGTTGGCTGATGCAACTTCCCAAATAAATGAAGTGGTCAACGTGCTCTACCACTTCACTCCCTATTTCTAAACTAGGAGTCAATATACGCCAGTCCAGTCCTGTAACACTATCCTACATTTGGCGGGAGCGAATCGCATGCCAAACATTCGAAGATTGCTGCTCTTAAGGTGTTCAGAAGACTCTGCATTTTGTCAGCGTCTTACCGCCATTCCACGCTCTCCTCGATGATGCTGCGCATGGCGTTTCGATTTTATCCTCATATAACTTTATTTCATGAATGTATATGACTAATTTTTCTTAACAGTAGTTGTATGTCTGAAAATATGTGACTGTCATTGAATCAGCTGTGGTAAAATTGTTTCAAACTTTCATGGTGTTACGTGTTTGTGTTGTCACAACAACTGGTGAAAAAAGATGAATTGTGGTTTCTACTACCTAACGATTTAATTCAGTATAATACAGTCAACTGCTTCCTAGCTGTCTGTGGAATTCAGTAGAGTTTGACAGTTATTAGCGTCGTTTTCTTGTCGTTGTCTGACACGGATGATTTACTAGCCAAGTCCCATCATCTTCAGATTTCACTTCAATCTGTACTAAGTCTGTTGAAAGAAACAACGGTGAAAGCAGATAAGGTGAATTATCACAGTTGTGAAAAACATTACTTGGCGAAAGTCGACACTCTTTTTCGTCTCACATCCACAAACATAAGCTAACTGTCAAACTACATGATAGCCATACCTTAATATCATTATATACAGACAAATACGGGCACCGATTAGACTTTTAAAATATAAAAAAATCTTAGACAAAGAAAATAAACAACAATGCAGAGATATTCCTAAAAAGCTAGTACCAAGATGAATCAGCAATCACTAGTCACATTGAATATCTATAAGAAATATCAAGCGATGAAAAAGAAATCATGTTGAGAAAAGGTCAAATATCAGGTCAACAAAAAATAAATCGATATTTAATACAAGTGTGAACAAAACGGGGGGGGGTAAGAAAAAACTCTGAAGACAACCAATCATCCACAAGGTTATCGGTGGAGAAGGTCATTCCACGCACGTCATAGTGAATATATGTAAGTAGAAAGATAGTGAAGACATGGTAATTAAAGCATCCAGGTTAGAGAACACAGTTAAGTCAATATTATATATGCAGCTGAGCTACAAATCTCCATCATATCAAAATTTGGTAATCCCTTGATGCTGAAGTATAACGTCAGTTATTGTCATACATAAAAGAGTAGTATTGATGGTTCACTGTGTTACTAAATGTATGATACTGTGGTTTGGGTTTTTTTGAGGGAATTAAATTTATTTGTACCTAATGCCTATTTGTTTTTGACTGTTTATTGCGGAATTATCCCATCTTATTGTTTACTAAATAATGCTTTATGTGTGTGTCGGTGGTTCCGTAATGAGATGCCCGCCAACCGCACACGCCGTCTTGGTTTCGATTCCCGGCCAACTCACTACTTAACTTTGCCTGGTTCACTAGGTGGTGGTAAGCTTGGAGAAGAAGAAAGGTTGGACTTGAGACTAGCAACCTCATCCCGCAAAACACATCACCACAGCTGCCGAAACTCGAAGCAGGGAAGTTATGCTCGAGGGGGAATGTAAAGGAATGGGAAAAGGAATTTACCGCTTATAGTTACATTCTGATTGTGCTGTTGGGCTGTTATGATGCAATACAGTAGGAGTAAAGGTTGTTTATGCTATTGTTTCCACTGAATTCATAAAATTCCTATAGTTACTTTAGCAAAACAAGTGTGCGTCGTCTGGTGTATTAGTTTTTAAGATAATTTTGGAAATTTAACCAATCAGTAGTATACTAAGGGGAAGAAATTTTCTGTTTTTGTCACCTTACACCGTCTTTCTCATCCCAAACTTTGATGATGATTTTTGTCGTCGCAATACATGTAATGAATACTTTAAGTCATTCCCTTCGGCATACTTTTTGCCGAGCTTTATTGTGATGAATGCTAACTGAAGTTAGATTAACAAGCTGGGTGCCTGTCTGTCTGTCTGGTTTCAACATAGAACTTTGCACCGATGTGCAGCAGTTCGAGTCGCCACACTTCACTCAGCACACAAAGCCAGAGAAGAAAGTAAAAAGAAACGCAAAATGGAGACAGTAAACAGAGATACGAGGTAAAAAGAATAGTAGTATCGAGGGACAATATAGTTCTTATTGGGTATTATCAGTCACAAGGAGTGGATGCATCTGCACCAGCCATTGAGAACACTTTTGAGCCATATCATCAATTGTCTGAAACCGTTGCTTTATTACCATTCCGGGGACCCCAACCATGAAGTCTACATCTCCCGACGTGGCAGTTGGCTTAAACTAACTGTTGTGGATTTGATTGACTGATGAAACCGTGTTTTGGTTTGACCATCAGTGGCTCTTTTCCAACCTGACCCTATATCAGCTAACATCGCCCTTCGAGGAAGGCGATGGCTAGTCTAGGCATGTGTAACACATGTCCTAACCATCTCAATCGATGTAACTTCACAGCCTCTTCTATTTATTTCCCCTTCCTACCTAGCACTCCGCTGAGACCTAAACTCAATATTGCTCACCCTATTATACCACTTCGCAGGGGCAGGCACCTTTGATCAAAGACAGCCAGCCTGGCTTTTCATGTCTTCCACTTCCAATGGCCATATCTCACAGCCGTTAAGGAGGACGGAGCGGACTGCTAAGCAATACACACGCCCTTTGGTCGATAACCAGCCGGATGTCACGTCTACACCAGAGATGGCGTAAACTGGTATATGCGAAACTGAGCTTCTGTATCCGTGCTAAGATTTCGTCGGTGATCCTGTAGGGGACCTGAAGTATGATGCCACCGGCGCTTTATTAAAATCTTATTTCTTCCTACTAACGTTTCCATCTGACCTTCAGTCAGAAGTCAAGTTGTTAACCTAAGATTATCTTAAATAACCTCTGTAGATAGTATTTCCTACTAGCTCTTTCTTAGCAAAATCGTATAATTTCAGTTCTGATTACAGATCGACTTTAGTTAGACAACCATTGAAAACCAGGTAGTTCTGGGTAGTTGTTTCCTCCTAGTTTAAGACACTACAGTCCTATGTATCCGTGACCCTACCAGGAATTGAACCAGGGGCCTTAATGTTACAGGGCGAACTTGTGCCCACTAGTGATTGACTATAGGGTGGAGTTGCCTGAAGTTATTGTGGAAAGTTGTCATCGGCTGGGCCCACCAAGTTGGGCGTGAGGACAGATACTATATATCGCTATATCGTGAATCGACAGAAGTTAATATCGAAAAGTCAATGGATTTCGTCCTAGTGGCTGAATGGCATACGATTTCACCCTGGGTTCAATCCCTGGTAGGGGCATGGAAGCGTACTGATGAAGAGACTCAAGAAGACAAAAACAAAGTAAGCTGTCCCTGTTTGTTTTTAGTTGTCCTCTAACTGAAGTCAGTTCGTGGGTGCAAAATTGAAGTCATTCAAATCCCCACAAAACGACACATGAAAATCATATAATGTTTGACAAAACCATGTTTTCTTTTCTTTTCCTAGCCATCTCAACAAATTGAAACTCGGAGTAAAGATGGTCGCCGAAGAATAACACCGAAATTCTTAGGTCATTTAGACAGGTATATTTTCCCTTTTTTTAATTTTTATGACATTTCCTCAAGCCAGTTCCACCTTTGTTCGGTCATAGTTGAGAAATATACCGGTTTGAAGTTTGCGCTATAGAACAGTCATACGCAACACTGCGTGTATTGATGTTTTGAATCGAAGCTTTATTTTCAGAATTATACTTTGAACTTTTATAGACTGGTAGTTAAGAGTAATAAGTTTTCCATCCCGATGTGTATTCTCGTTTGAACACAAATTCAATGCCTTATGGGTCGCTAAGGAATGCTTCACACTGAATATAAAAGACAGCTGGGGTAAGAAGAGCATGAAAATGGGATGCATACAGTTGCATCGTGCGTCGGTGACACAGTGGTAGAATGTTCGTCAACCACACAGATGGTTCGCGTTTCGATCCCCGGCCACCGACGCACTCCTTTACCTCGCTAAGCCAGTAATAAGACTGTTAAAGAGGGAAGGTTGGAAATGAAACTAGCAACCTCACCCAGTAAAAATAAACATCATTGCTACCGAAACTTCACAGCTGTAGCTTGAAGCCCTATGTTCCACTGGGAACGTAAAGGAATAAAATAACAATAAATAATAATACTGTTGCATTGCTTATTGTACATTGGTGGAATAACTGAATTCTCCTGAAGTTTTACGGTATTTAATATGAAATTTCTGACAGTCGTTAATGGACTGTTCTGTAGCCTACTCTGGGTGTGTTTTAAAAGGTTTGGAAAGCGTGGCAGCACCTGGGAGCAGAGTAAGACGCTGGTGTATTACTTTTAAAATGTAGTAGGTAGGATAATAAATAACTCCCTTGCAGTTTGATGGGGGAAATTCCGTCTCCAATACATTTCTGTAACAATCTTGTTATTTTACGTGATCAGAGTCTCGTCATCCTTTTTAAAAAAAAACCCAGATGTTAGGTGTGTTGACCAAGTAAGTGCTCTTTAAGTTCCTTGCTGACTTCCAGTCGGTTAAGCTGGATGGCTATTAGCTGACCATGGAGCATACATGAATGTTGTAACTTTTTATCAACCAATCAATTATATTGATATCTCATCTAGTGATGAAACTGGTAGCGTAGAATCTAACAGTTTTTATATGAGAAAGTACTCCAAAGGTATATATTATCCTGTTATGATACATTTTAAAGGGATACCCATTAATTATTCGAAGCTTTTAATAAAATGTAGTCTCCAAAACACTTTGTGTTAAATGAGTGGTATAACATGGTAGCTATTGAAGTTAGACGTTTATTACTAGGTAAGGAGGAGAAGTCAATCGATGAGGAGTATGGAGATACATCGATTGAGATAACCAGAATACGCGCTACGCATACCGAACCACCTCCTTCTTCAACAAGCAATGTTAACTAACTGACCAGGCAGAGTAAATGAGTCACTGATGGCAAAACCGAAACCTTACATCTATCCATAAAGTCTGTGTGGTTGGAGCCTTCGATGTATGCTATAGGAACGTGGCTTGAAACTTTTTTGATACGGCTTAAAATCGTTTAATCTTTGTAATCTATTAGATGCATTAAACCCTCATGTTATTCTATGTCACTTTTCTGTCCCCCTTATATTTTTTCTAATTATAGTTCGTTTGTGGTTCTGTTCTTTTATCTCTCCTCAACCTCTGTGTGCAACATAGTGTGTAGCAACTTGAACTGCTGCATTACTGTGCAAAGGTATATACTGAAAGGTAGGCAGTCAGTCGGTCAGTGATAGCCTCTTACTGTTGAACTAGAGTTTAGAATGTCATTTTGTGTTTGGTATATAAAATATGATTCTTAGGGTTAACCATGTTACCCCTGAACCTGTTCATTCCTTTTTCGTTGTGAGTAGGACATAGGGTTTGAAGCTGGAGTTTTGAAGTTTCAGTAGCAGGGGTTGCTGGTCTCGCATACTCAACGTTTCCTTTTTATTCGGCTACCTTAATACCGGCTAGTGCATCACCTCGGAATCGAACCCACACATCGTGTGATGTGGTTAGAGGTCACTCTACCGTTGAACCATCATCTTTCAAATACGCTCTACTATATTTCAATCCTATAACATTTTAAAATCTATTAAAGTATTCTTGTCCAATGGTGAATAAAGAATTTCCCTTCCCTTTTTTGCCTTTATTATTATTATTCATTCATTCATCAGTCCTGATGATGACGGCAACTCCAATCCTCAGTTCACATCACCACAGCCTAGTCGATCAGAAAGCAAATCCAGTCTGGAGATAGTTTCCGATTCAGCTTCAGATTCAAGTAAAGCGGTGAAAACCACCACGTCATCAACGATAGTAACAGCAGCAGCAGCAGTAACAGGCATGATAAGTGCAACAACGATGACAACAACAACCACAACAGCAACAGCAACAACAAATACTACTATTATTACTACTACTACTAGTAGTACAACTAGTACAACTAACACTACAGTTCCTAAAACTGTAACAAGCGCTTCGAATTCATCAGGTGTTACAGTTGTGGCAGTCAATGGGACTACTGGCACTAATAGTAATAAAAATAACAGCAATAATAGTAGTAGTAATATTAATAAACAACCTACTTCACAAGTTAATCATCCCTCTGTGTCAAAGAATACTACAATTGAAACAAAGCGTGGTGATGAAACAGTTTCAGTGTGAGTTCACATTATTATTTTCTAACCTTTTTTTGGTAATGATGATATGTCTTTTGATTCTTTCTAGTACACACTTTGTCGTTCCTTTCTCAGGTTAACTGTATAACTGATAAAGTGACTCATGAACCAACATCAGTTAGAGAAATCATTGAAAAGCAGGGAGTATTGAACAGCTTTTTGATCCTACTTTGGGACGTTTCAGCATTGCTACCCTTCAATCACACTAGGGACACCTTCAGATTAGGAAACCAAGCTGGTTAACCTTTCAGTTACTTGAGCTGAAATTCAATGACCTGGGGATTGTAGTTTATGTTCATTCATGATATACGGCTACCTTCAACCAGTGCTTCTCAGTGTAACGACAGAAGACAAGGGCCAGGCAACAGATTGTTTATTGAGGAAATTAACAGATATTTATAGATTTTTATGTACATTATTATTAGCGTTATTGTTTGCGGGGAAGCAGCGTCTTCTGATTGGTTGTTTTCCTGCTGAAGGTTATTCTGTCATCACTTTGTTGCCGTTTCTTAAACAGTCCGGTGATATATCTGCTAATCGTATCCACCCACGCTAAGTCTGATGTCATTGCTTGAGTTAGTCTTCGTTCTTGTTTCTTTTTTTCATGACCCCGATTTGGGACGTAAACATTGACGTCAATTGGTGCCTACAAATTTGGTTAGCGGACAGCTGTAACCACACTATGACCATTCAGTTGATATTCACCTGGTGAACTTGAAGCTGTCGTGAGGAGTTTTGACCTGTGGATACTACTCACCAAAGGCTTGGTTTGAGAGCAGTACAGTGGTGAGCGCTGTCTGCTAACTAAAATTGATAGGCAGCAATTTACATCAATGTTTACGTCCTAAATCGGGGCATGGGAAAGAAGCAAGAACAAAGACTAGCTCAACAACCAATCACAGCAAACTTAGCGTGGGCGAATACGATTAGCAGATGTATCAACGGACTGTCTAAGAAATGGCCGCAAAGAGATGACGGAATAACCTTCAGCAGGAAAACAACCAATCAGAATACGTTGCTTCTCTGAAAACAATAATGAATAATCATGTACATAAAAACCTATAAATATTTGTTGATTTTCTCAATAAACGATCTGTTGCCTGACTCTTGTCTTCTGTCGTTACAGTATAATGTCACAACTTCACAGGAGTTAGAATTCACGGGTAGTTTGACTCTAGCTCAAGTGATTCAAGGGCTATTGGACTTGTTCTTGTAATCATAAGTTCCTGGGTTTTATCCTTGGTGTAGTCGAGAGTTCTGACTACTGAAGAATCCCAAGCTAGAACGAAACAACTGTCCAGTACTAAATGATTTTGAATGGTCTCTAACTGGTGTTAGTTGTTGACGATATTTAACAATCATTATTAGTCCAAATCCCATAACCTAACTTCCATATTAGATACGTTTATTTGATATAACAGACAATGACACGGCGGTTTATTAATTATTGAATAACGCTGGTTTAAGCACAATTTATCTATCTCTACTCTTACATTACAATGATACTTATGCCCATCTTTTTCGAAGACTAATTAGTAAACTTACCCTACTATCACAGACAGAAGCAAGATTTACAAATCTTCGTATTTTCAGAATTTCACGCTTAAGAAAATGGAGTTACTTCTAAATATCTTTGTACACGCCTTCCGCTTGCAACAAGAAGCGTGAAAGCAGCTTCGTAATAGACTGTTTAAGGGGTGAAATGCAGAGAGTTACCAATGAACTAACTGCCGTTAGACATGAGATTGAACAACTGAAATTCAAACTCAAATGTATATATGGTAAATAATAAGGGTTATGAAATTATACTCGAAACATTCAAAAAGTCAGCATTAGCTACTTTCAATACAAATCCAAAAATACTCAAATTAAAAAAAAATCAATAAATGAATGGAAGAAAAATATCCTGCTGAAAAAAATAATAAAGTCACTAATGAAATGGGATAAAGGGGTTGATTGTTAATCTTCCGACAAAAGCATTGACCTCTGATGAAATAAAAGTAGTTTGAAAAAGGATTAAACTTTAATGTAGCTGACTGCTAATAGATTAAAACCTGAGAATGCGGTATTATTCCTAGTGTACAAGTAACATTAAGTGACGTGTTGTTCAAGAATGGCTTCTGTTCCCATTTCTGTTTAATTTCATCATAGATGTACTAATGGACTTAACCCTAGCTGACTCAGGGATTTACTCGTTACCAGGTAATAATCTTATTGACTTAGAATTGGCGCAAGATATAGTCCTTCTAGGCGAAGACGCTGACAAAATGCAGTCTTCTAAACACCTTGAGGAGCAGCAATCTTCGAATGTTTGGCATGCTATTCGTTCTCACCAAATGTAAGATGATGTTACAGGGCTGGACGACACTAACTCCTAGCTTAGAAATAGGGAGTAAAGTGGTAGAGTATGTTGACCGCTTCATTTATTTGAGAAGTTGCATCAGCCAGCCCAACGGGTTGATCTCTGACGAAATCTCAGCATGGATACAGAAGGCTAGTTTCGCATATGCCAGTTTACGCCGTCTCTGGCGTAGACGTGATACCCGCCTGGCTATCAACCAAAAGGCATGTGTACTGCTCAGAAGTCCGCTCCGTCCTCCTTTATGGCTGAGATATGGCCATTGGAAGTGGAAGACATGAAAAGGTTGGCTGGCAGTCTTTGATCATAGATGCCTACGTTCTATCTCAAATGTCACGTGGTGGTATAATAGGGTGAGCAATATTGAGGTTAGGCCTCAGTCGAACGAGTGCTAGGTAAGGAAGGGAAATCAATAGACGAGGCTGTGAAGCAGCTGCATCGATTGAGATGGTTAGGATATGTGTTAAGCATGCCTAGTATAGCCATCGCCTTCCTCGACGGGCGATGTTAGCTGACATAGGGTCAGGCTGGAAAAGAGCCACTGATGGTCAAAGCTAAACATAGCTTCATCAGTCAATCAAATCCACAACAGTTAGTTTAAGCCATCCGCCAAGTAGGGAGGTGTAGACTGCTGTCTGGTTGCTATCCTCGAGATAGTAAAAACCAATGCCTGGAGACAATTGGTGATATAACTCAAATTAGTTTTCGTTCTCAATGCCTCGAGCAGATGCATCCACTCTTTGTGATTTATTATCCCTCTTGCTTTGTGTACTACATGGAGGGAAAGCAGCAACTCGAAGTGCTGCACATCTGTGCAAAGTTCTACATTGAAACCAGTCAGTCATTCACATAAAACAACGGCTGCCCGAGAACTATCACAGTGTGCATTGACACCGAAGCACTAGAAGAAAAGGAGAAAAAAACACTATATTCAGAAATAATAGCTCTTAAAAGCCGGACGAATTACAAAAACATAGTAATTGCTCAGTCAGAAAACAGTGATCTTGGAGATATCAGATAATGTCAACCAGTTCGATACGACGAGATTAAAAAACAACCTATAAATAATATTATGAATTCGACTAAAAAAAATCCTCATCTGATCTAGTACTCTGACAAATTCTAATAAATACTTAGACTTAAATTCATCCCACTGAGAACTGAAAAAGGTAGGTTTAGTTAAGTGTTTGTGTGTAATCAGCCGAAGAACGGAACTGGTAATTCAGAAGATTTATGTAGGGAAATCAAAGAACAAAAAGGAAAACATTGCTAGTGAGTAACTACCAGAATATGTTCAAATATGTATGAAGAACCGTAAGAAAATAAGGTAGTAATGAAAATAATAATAATAAGTAAAAAAATCTCGGTAGTGATGCCGTATAATCAAGGAACATCAAAGGCTCTCTGTAGGATTTCTAATAATGCTGAAATTAGTATGGTAGCTAAACCAACCAACTGACTCAGAGAAAAATCCCTGTCGGCCTAAAGATCTGGTAGGTTCAATTAAGAAAAATAATATAATTTACTGAAAACCATCAAATGAATGGGAAGTCAACTATATAGGCCAAACTAGCCTAGATTATCGGAACATAAGAATTTAGCTGGATCTAGAATGACTTGGCAAATGATACGCAAAATTGTGAAGCGTTCAATATTTTTTCGCGACGTCATTGGTTCAGTGGCAGGACACTCGGCCAGCCATTCATATGGTTTGGGGTTCGATTCTCGGCCGACAGAAGCCTTTCACCCCGCTTAGCTGTTAATAAGCCCAGTAAAGCGGTAGGGTTGGGCATGAGGCTAGCAACCCTATCCAGTAGAAAAGCACCACTGCTACTCACTCTTTCACTGGGAACTCAAAGGAATAAATTTATTTAAAAAAATGTAAAATAAAGAACGACTTGCTCTACTAGGTTAAGTAATCTAGAAAAAAGGTTGGTTGTTGCAGTGTGTATATGCCTGAATATAGTCATACAATAAGGGGTGGAAATAGGTTGAGAAAATATTAAAATATAATATTAGTAGTTAAGTGATGAAACAGAGGGATAATCACCCAATCTTTATTGATCGAATCAATACCAAACACTTGCAATCGAAACGGGGCAATATCTATACCGGAGATATGGTAAATTTCCTTAAACAAGAGAAGAAATGTATAGATATAAGGGAGATTATGAAACTGTGTGAATAAAGTGATATGCCATACTCCAAGCATTATTCAGTTATTGACAATGTATCACTCATTGTGTGTTATATGAGATAAACTTGTAACAACAGAAGACAAGGGCCAGGCAACAGATCGTTTATTAAGGAAAATCAACACATATTTATGGATTTTAATGTACATTATTGTTAGTAGAAAATACAGTCTTTTGATTGGTTGTTTCTCACACAAAGTTAACCTTGCATCTCTTTATGGCTTTGTCAGATCATCCATATGCTAACTGTATCCGCCTACGCAAAGCCTTTGTTCTCATTTTCTTACCACCAATATTGGGGACATAAACATTGACGTCAATTACTGTCTACCAACTTTGGGTAGCAGCCAGCTCTCACCACAAAATTATATAATATGGAATTATATTCTTACCAAATTGCTCAAATTCTACCCTTAATTATTTTGTTAACTGTAGATCGAATACTGATGTATCATTGAACCAAAAAAATGTTTCCTCGAAAACTGTTCCCAGTGGAGTACAAGCCCCATCTACAACAACGATACCACCACCACCACAACAACAGCAACAACCTCTCGTGTCGAAAAAGTCATCATCAGAATCTTTAGAACAAGAAATCGGTATTGAACAGAAACGTGCTCGTCTTGACACTAACGACAGCGAGCCACCAGCTCAAGTAGACAATGCTAAATTGATTAGTGATGAATCTGCGAAAGTGAACCCGTCTAGTAAACAGAGGAAACGACGTGTTCGACTTTTTACTGAAGAAGAAAAATCACCGAAATCTGGAGCTGAGGCTACTTCTGCTTCTTCTAAGTCATCTGCTGTACAGAATAATAAAAAGGTATGCTTCTCACCTGAGTCATCACCGCAGCAAAAGCCGAAATCCGTCACTATATCTATTCCAGAACCGAGTAAGTTTGATGTGTTTGTGTGTGTATTTTCTATTTGAAAGTTGGTTGAGAGTGATGAGGTCAAGACAAGCATGTGTAAGCGGTAGCATACGTTAAAGGGAAGGTGAGATTTTCAAATTATTTTTTAGTCAAGTAATGATGGCTGATGGGTTGGGGGGTGGTTGGGTGAGAAAAGCGTCTGAACGAACTCCTCCTATTCGCATAAGCTTGGCTCCTTCAAGTAGATTTCTGTGCTGTTTCATCTTTATGTTAAAGACTAACTCGTAAGGTAGAATAAAGATTAGTTGGAATACGGGAGATAATTTTTTCCACTTCCTTGCTCACATCTACCATGTGAGCTCCTGTAGACATACTATTGAGCAAGTTCATCTTCGGATTTCTGAACATCATCCAGTGTGGTTAATCAAGGGATAAACATGGTTTGTTTGCAGCTCTGTTTTAACCTATCTTTCCGTAAAGAGTTGGAAATACAAAAGATGCCATGAGTGAGCACAGAGTGATGTTAAAGCACTCTCCTAATCTCATCAGTTTCAATGATTAAGTCTGTGTCAGTAAAATATTTACTATTTCATTAGCATAATAGATTAATTATTAAATGAGAGTTGCTCATATCTTTGAAGTTTCTGTAGCTGCGTCTAACCTAGCCTTGTTTTCTGAGTTTCGAATCGATTAGTAAATTAGGCGAGGTTTGTGCTCCCGCAGTCCTACCAAAGATCGAATCTGGGACCTTCACATCACAAGGTTAGTTCGTTGATCCCTCAGCCACCACCGGGTCAGTCTAATGTTCCTTTATAGTTCAGAGACTTGGAATTTCGCGATAAATATTTACGACAGGTTATTGTAGATTTTCATCAACATCTGCATTCACTAACTCCATTCTGAAAATCATATGGCCTGGCTAGAAAGCATGAAGAACAGGGAACTCTGGTCAGCCAAGAATGTATTGTCTAACAAATATTCAGAATAAAGTGGAGATGGGTCGGGCACACTCTAAGACGACCGTTGGGTGCCATCGGGCGCCAGGCCCTCAAGTAGTATCCAAAAAGGAAATGACAAGTTGGATGTGGGGTTGACATTGAGGAGGTCGTGTGAGGAGGAGATCAGAGCTTATGGGCTGTTGTGGAGCCAGCTAAAGCGTACTGCAGAGAAAAGGATGAATTGACGTTGTGCTGTGGAAGCCACTATATTTCCCTCTGAACCTAAAGGAATAATAATATGATTCTTATCTTATTGAGCTGCACTTTTTTTTGAGATTTTTCTCAATTAATTAAATTTGCACTTAAAAACATATGGACAGTGTTTTGAAAGCTTTTAAAGTGATTGAATTTAGTCCTGTAAATAAGTTAGACACCTTAATTGCATGGGGGCTAAATGATATGACTCCAAAAGTTGTTTACAAATGGGAGACTTCTTCAGCCTATGCTCTCCTTTCTATCAACCAAATCGGACAGTGTTCAGCTACACGTGTTTGCATAATACGCTTACAACGTGCAATATAATCAGCTTCACAAAAGCATATCAAAGAGGTAGTTGCATAGAGAATTGGACTTATTTCCGTATCATATTTCGTCTGAGGCATACTAAGTGTAAGTTAGTGACACTTTCATAGACGACTTCTAATCATTTCAGCAACGGTGTTACCTTTAAATGCAAACTTATCAATAGTGTCTTTTTTGGCACTATAATTTGGCTAGGAGAGGCTCTTTTTTCATGTCTGTTTCAATAAACCTCCTAGAATATCCATTACTTATGAGCGTTGTAAGTCATCCACTTCAACTGTACCCCCTTGAAGATCATGTTAATTTTCTTTATTCTTATCATATGTATAATGACTGAGTAACCTGTAGTGTCACTTGTTGCCTTTTTCTGAACTATAAATACTACTGCATGGCTTGGAAATAAAGTCTTCAAAAAGACATATTTCTTCGCTGGACAAAAAACACTGTGTTTTTCCGCTTTGAATAAATGGGTATATTTCGTGGTGAATCTTTTGAAAGCCTAATGGTAACTATGAAGGATGGATGCCACACTCATGGTCCCACGAAGTGACTTTGGAGAAACGAATCAGATCATATTGACCTTTCACAATGGATTTATGTATGGGAACTGGTTTGATGTGTCGAATAACAACACCTACGTGAAAGTGGGACATATTTTCGCTGCAAATATATGTGGTAACGTCTCCGACTGCAGCGCGCTGGTTTACCCCCTGGTTCGAATCTCAAAAGGGACATGAGTTCCTTCAAGACTTTAGATGCGCCTTGCTGACAAGTACCAACTAGCATGAAACTTAGACTTCCAGCTAACTACTTCCAACTATCTAACAGAGGTCTGATTTCGATAGAGAAAAAAAGACCAGATTTGTAGTATAAAATGATGCATCATCATTCTATTTCACAGGTTCTCATCAGCTGCTGCTGCTGCAAACTACCTGAAATTACAATGGTTATAAATAATAACATTTCATACTTCAATGTTTGAAAGGTAATAAAGAAAACCTTATAATATGAACGCATCCGGAATACAAGTATTACAATTGGTTCTAGTTTAAGTTACCATCAATTTATATACTATCAAACTATGAAAGGAAAGGGAGGGGGTGAGAGAAGACAGAAAACAGAAAAAATCTAATAAACAGTGTTAGCTTGTACGTCAACATGGCAACTCAAGTAGGTCAAAGTTCATCCAACTGAAAAATCGCTTAGTGAGCTGAACTCACTCATGTGGATGACTAATCAGTGTAATGAAAATGATATGGAGTGAGAGATTGACTACACTCTCTTTCTGTGTGCATAAGTTTGGTCTGAGACGTTTGATTGCAATTGCTTCAGTAAATCGTAGTAGATTCGCTGTCCTTTTTGTGCTTAATATTTTGAAGAATATAGAAATCTCGACGAAATGTCCCGTATCCACAAGGTGAGTGTCTGGTAATTTCACTTCGTAAATATCTGTTTCTTTTTAAGCACAAGTTCCTTGGAATATGCTCTAAAAACCGGATAGAAGCCCTCCTTCCAATGTACTTGCTGCCGCAGGTGCACGTAAATTTATAAATGCTCGTAATGCTCTCTATTACCTTTCAAACATTGAAGTAGTTTGCGGCTGATGACAACCTGTGAAATAATGTAAATCTGGTCTTTCTTTCTCTATCGAAATTTATCAAGGGAACCAAATGTATGAAAAGATCTGATTGACTGTTTCCGTTGAACTTTGAATGTGGTATCTATTCTTTGTAATTAGCAGCATAATTATGCTTCGTTTCCTCCAGAGTAAGCAGAATGGTAGACGAAGTAAACACTATTCGTTTTCCAACTGTAACCTTCGCGTTTCAGCGATTGAAGTAGAGATGAAGTAGTAGATATAAGTTCACGAGACTTTTTCTAGACCCTTAATTTCCTTTGATTGAATTTCTTCGAAAAATTACGATGTTTCTTTTACTTTGCAAAAAATTACTTTTCAGCCGATAATATATCATCGACCATACACACTGCATCGACAGTTTTTACAAACCCTCCACCATTTATTATCACTACTCCAGATCAATTGGCCAGTGTACCAAAAGTTCAGTTTGTCTGTTCAAACTTAATAGATGGACCAATTGTTGTACAGTTGATAAACTCCTCATATTCTTCTTCGACATGTAGTGAAGAAGGCACAAAAATGCCCGCCTCAATATCAAGAATATGCGCTAATCGTGGTGACCGCCGTTTATGGGAACTTGTCTCGTCTGATCGTCTTACCTCTTATGCTTATTCAGAGTAAGTTACATAAAATAATAAATTATACCTACCTACAGGAAGTCAGTTGTGAGCATGTGTACTGTAGTGGTAACATATAATAATAATAATAATAATAATAATAATAATAATGATAATAATAATGATAATGATAATAATAATAATAATGATAATAATAATAATGATAATGACCATTATAATAATAATAATATACTTTATTCCAAAACAGTACTTGTGATACAGAATGGAATTCTCAGCATTTTTACTATAGCATTGCATCCAGTTAGTACATTATCAATAAATAAAATTCTACATAGATTAAGGAAATCTTAGTTCATTATGACAACAACATATTGGCATGTCAGCGGTAGCAAAGCCAAAGTTGAACAGTGTTTGAAGGTGTTAGAAAAGTAGGTGCTATCATATTTACCGGCGTAAGCGGAAGAAAGAAACAAAGCAGCACATAACGGAAAGAAAGAGAGAGAGAAAAGGAAAAGAAAGAAAGAGAATGTTGTACGTATAAATGATATGAGTTGGAAAGACGAGATCCAGTTGTTCTACTGACAATTTAATAAGTTATAGGTGTCACGCCTAATGCTTTCTTTATCTCACAGAACACGAATTAAGTAGGGTATGGTTGAGTTTTTGTACTTGCTAGTGCCAGCATATAGTTTTCTATATAGGCTTCTGGTTCTGTCTGATGAGATGCAAGGGGAGAGTTGTGAGTGAAGAGGGTGGTGTGAGTTAGATAAAATGGATTTAGCCCAGTTTTCACACGAGTCCAAGTGTCTGTCGACCAGAATATTAACAAGCTGGTTAAGTGGCGCGTTGCTTACTCTGTTGACAACCTTTAACATCCTGCGTAATAAGGTATAGTCTTTCTTCAGTAGAGGCAGTAGGGGAACAATAGAGAATAATAAGCACAATGCGACAGTTAACGAATTGTAGGAGTAAGGGTTGGGTTATACCAGATTGTCTTAACTTCTTGATGTAGAAGGTAAGACGGAATATCTTCTTAGAAATCACCAAGATATGAGACGAACAGGAAAGATCAGCAGATAGAATGACGCCTAGGTATTTAATTTCCGACTTGGTTTCTATTTCAGTGCCGTCTATGTTGCACACCTCGTGAGTGCTAACCAGTTTGTTTAGGTTAGATTTATGCCTAAAGGTGAAATTGACTGTTTGGCATTTGGAGGGGTTTAAGGTGAGACTGTTTTCCTTGGACCACTGGCTGATTTCTGATAGAAAGCCATTTAGTTTAGAGCAGTCACTTTGACATTTGACAGGCAAAGATACAGTCAGATCGTCAGCATATTTGACAAAATTAATGTCATTTGAAGATGGTAAGTCATCTATGACTGTCATACTCAGTGATACCGGTGTTCGTGTCGTCGAGGAAACATCATTTCCTTTGGAGATTGCTGATGAGTGCCTATAAGCAAGAAACCTAAATCAGACAGGGCTTCCTGCCTATTATCTCCAACCCATTCTGGTATGAATCAAATTCACAATTTGCAGATTAATTCGCTGCAATTTGCACAGTTTGTGAAGGTGAAATCTCACCACAATCACCTTTGGATCACAATATAAGCTATCTGTTTGCTTCCATAAATAAAAATCAATAAAGCTAGGTAAAATAGGCGAGCAAAACGGCTGTCTAGTGTTCAGACCATTCCAATCTGTCTGACCCTTAAACACTACTAGCGTTATCAAACTACTCATTTCAATCAAATAGTAGTATATGACATTGAGAATCGAATAGTCTATTTAAGTTTACGATGTCGAAATGAAGTCATTATGATTATACGTATTTACATTGTCAGTGAATGGTGGTCATAAATATGCTTGTATTCTTCTATTGTATTTCAGTGAAGTTATTGTTGTCGGTGATAGTAAAGGTCGGATACAATTATTGTACAGCACTGGTGGTCGTATCTGTCCTAATCTCTTATTGGATTCTGTGCATACCTTAGTATTGACAAATGAGACTGCTGAAACTGGCCATTTATCCACATCATCATCATCATCCGGAAAGTCGGCAGAATCATCAGGCAGTAATAATAATAGTCATCTTAGTCGATTACATGCAGTTGTCAGTGGTAATGAACAACAACAGCAACAACCACCACAACGTACAACTCTTCCGCATAATGGAGGCCCTATTGGCGCCACTAATGCATTTAATGGCAACAATAACAATATCAATAAATTCAATATGGCTCGTAAATATCGACTAGCTGCTTTATGCCGATCTGGAAGATTAATCATATGGAATTTTTCACTGACCAATTCTGGTTTAGGTTCAGTGTCTAGTATATTCAATGCTACTGTATTTCCACAAATACTTGTCGAAGCAAATATTAAAGATATTTTAAATGGTAAGTGTTGTCTATTCTCAAAAACATCAATTAATGTATGAGTTATCCGCATATAAAATTATTTTAAATTTGCGTCAGAATGTAACAATCCGAATGAATTTCAGTATAGGTTTCGTAACCAGAAGAAATCAGTTAAAGGGATCATTAAAAACGAAGGAGAAGTAGACATTTGTTTCCTCCTAGATTGGGACTCTTCAGGAGCCCGCACTCACTAACGCCCTAGCAAGGATGCGACCCGAGACCTGCAGACTACGAGATCAAGCTCAGAGTTATTCAACTACTTGGGTTAGAGAACCATTGGAAAACCACCAGGGAGTGCTGGATAGCTGTTTCGTCCTAGCATGACGGTCTTCAGCAGTGCACATCGACCAGGGTACGAATCCAGGACCTCCCGGTTACAAGGCGAGCTCGTAGACCATTCTGTCGCAGAGACCTGATCCAGTGACCTATAAATTCCAAATTCTGCAAATTTGCGATATGTATAGCGCAACCTCCAGCCAATATCACAGGGCGAGTGACTGATGTCTTATTTGACTTGGTGAGGTCCACCATTCATGGATCATTCAATCAGGTGTCGATGGCGAATTGGTATTCGAGCTCGCTCTATAAGTGTGAGGTTCTAGATTCGAACCCTAGTGGGGGTGTAGTGATGGGGAGTCCCAAACCAGGACGAAACAGCTGTCCAGTACTCCCAGGTTTTCCAATAGTTCTCTAACTTATTTTAACTGGTTTTCAAACCAGTAACCAATCAAATCCCTACAAACCAACGCTTGATATTTCTAACTTAATCAATTTGTGATATAACACTACCACCGTCAAACAGTGCCTTCGATGATCATCCACTTGACCTTCACACATGGTGGACCTCACTTGCTACGACTTTTCAGGATATACATCCAGTTGCCAGCAATGACCTGAAGATTAATATTTAGATTATTGGATTTTGTAGGAATTTGGATTAATTGCAATGTGGATGCTCATAGAAGGCATTGGTGATGAGGTTAACACTGCACCACGAAGTGAAAAAGTTAAAATTCGCGGATTATCGAATTTCCGCTAAAGTGATTGAATGATCAACGAACTTGGCCTCGTAATAGCTGTGTCCTATGTTCGATCCTTGGTGGAGTATGAGGTGCTGAAGAGTCCTAGTTTGGGGCGAAACAGCTGTTCAGTAGTGCTCTCTGGTTTTCAATGATTCTCTTTATCTGGTGTCTGTTCGTGACAGAATCTACCTATAAAAGCCTATAAATATCAATGAACTTGTGTTCCTGATACCTCGTTGATAGGTATAACCCAGGATGATGGGCTTCAATTCTGTATATGAGCTTCTTGATCGAATACCTTGTATCATCTGGGTAAAGAATTTGAAGTTGTTTGTTTGGCGGTGGTAGCTGATCAGTACATAGAACACGAACTTAATGATTTTTCGGTTGATTAATGTAGCACTCGATAATCTGATTTCATTTGTTACCTTCTAGTGGGTTGAATTAGGATCATTCATTCCTTTGCGTACCAAGTGGGACATAAAGCTTCAAGCTTTGAGGTGTAAGTGGCGATGGAGTATTTTTACGGGTGGGGTTGCTAGCTTCACCTTCAACCTCCCCTCTTTAACCAGGCTTATTACCAGCTAGTCGAGGTTCAGAGTGCTTCGGTTAGAAATGGAGGCCGGATGGCGTGCCTTGGTGGTGGGCATTCTATTATTGAACCACCGATGCGGATAATGACCAAGTGTACCTGAACATGCGCGTTGTCACGGAAATTGGTGCTGACTCGTTTGTCACCCTTCTAACATACTACTCGTGTCCCACCGACGCAAAATTGATGTCATTAGAAGTCACATTTATGTTTACTCTAAACATCTTCCTAATTTTTCGTAAGTAATTTGTAGGTGATCAAAAACTTGTGTGTATGTTCCCTATATTCAGAAAATCGAAGCAGAGTTCCATACGTTGTTTATTCTCCTTCATGTGAATATTTTCAATTGCAAATGAAATCCACTTTCTTTGTTCTTAATATGAATTATTATGTTAAAACTCTGTTACATAGGACAGATTTTCCAAGTACTGAACTATGGACCAACCGTTTTTGGGAAAGGACTAGTAATATTACCCAATTGCGCACTCTAAAATCGGTGTAGTGGGGTTCGAACCAAGGCACTCACTAGCTGAAAGTTGAGTGCTTAGGCGAATGAGCCACAGTCACATGTTGCATTTTAAAAAAATCTGAATAATGCAATCATTTTAGGATGGTGTGGCATTTACCACCAACTTACGTCGCTTTCAGCGTAGATATGATATCCGGCTATCAATCAAATAACTTTTGCGATGCACAGCATTTCGCTCTGTCCATCTTTTGGTTGTGAGAAGTGGCTGTTGAAAATGAAAGATATAGAAAGGTTAACTGTCTTTGACTGCAGATGATGTCTGCGTTGTGACTTCTATGCTATGGAGGGTAATTTGGCGAGTAGTACTGGGCGTTCGAAGCAGAGGAAGAGACAGTCGATCGATTAGGTTGTGAAAATTCATCGATTGAAAATAGTTATGACATATGGTACGGATGGGAAGTCAGCTCTGTCCTCATTGAGCAATGTTAGCTGATATAGGGTTAAGTTGGAGAAAGAGTTACGGGTGGTCAGACCGAAACATTGTGTATCAGTCCATGAAGTCTTTGGCTGCTAGTTTGAACCACATAGGAAGACGTATATAATGCCTGGTTGAAGTCCTCGGGATGCTATGAACCAACAGCTTGAGACTGTCGGTTATATGACTAAAAATCGTTGTCAGTAGCGCAGACACATTCACTCTTTATAATCTATCAGATCCATTAAATCCTCATGTATCTTTATGTTACTATTCGTTCTCTTCTGCATTTCACCTAATCACAATTCTTTTAAATTGTTTTTCTCTCTTTTCTGTATTTTTCTGTGCTGCATGAAGTGTAAGGACGTGAACTTCCGTACTTTTGTGCAAAGTTCTGTGTTGTAACTCTGTCAGGGACTGAGTGGTTGATTGACTTACCCTGCTTAAATAACATTCTGGACCTAATCCCAGTAATACGAACCGTATTTTTTACGGAAAACTCAGCGAGGCGTTTGAAAGGCTGGCTGTCCTTTATCACCGATGATATTCTTAACTGTGTGGACTGGATAATGCGTCAGACTGTGCGTTGAGAGTGAAGAGTCAGGAACATGCTGGATGACAGATAAGAAGACTCTAGAAGATCTGGATTTCGCAGATGATATATGTCTAATGTCACACAAACTGGAAGACTTACAGGCAGGTGAGAACCAACATACCGACTGAAGAAGCAGGTCGGCAGCAAAGACAGGACTGCAAGTGAGCATAAAGAAAACAGAGGTGATGAAGAGAACCAACGAACAGCAGCAACAACCAGCACCAATCACCATCAGCAGGAGAAACCTAACAGAGGTTACTTCCTTCACTGATCCAGCCAGGAAGCATCGTTTCAAGTACAGGAGGAACGTATGAAGACGTCAAAGCCAGCCAGCCAGAATCAGAAAGGCAAGATACGCCTTCATCAACCTGGAACCAGTTTGGAAATCTTCCACACTCAGCATAAGGGACAAGTTTCGGATTTTTAACACCAATGTGAAGTCGATCAGTGCTTCTATATGGGTGATAAATTTGCACTGCGTGACACGAAAAGGATTTCCAACAAGTTGCAGACTTTTATCAACAGCTGCCTTCGCTGCCTCCATACTGAAGATCAAATGACCAGAAAGAATAAGTAACAAGAAACTGTGGGAAGAAACCAACCAAGAACCGACCGCTCATCAAATATGAAGGAGAAAATGGAGATGGATCGGGCATACATTGAGGAGGCCGTCGAATGACATCGCGTGCCAGGTCCTCGAGTAGAATCCCAATGGGAAGCGACAAGTGGGTCGTCGGTGAGAGAGTGACATGGAGAAGATCGTGTGAGGACAAGATGAGAGATTGTTGGCAACCGTGGTCCGAGCTGAAGAGGACGGCAGAAAATAGAACAAAGTGGAGACGTGTTGTTGTAGCCCTATGTTCCACTCGAAACCCAAGGAAACAATAATAATTTTGCTATTTACCACGGGAGGTGAAATGCAAATGTTCGTGACCAAAGGTTTTTCCCTTTCGCTGGTTATGACTTACAGCTATGCAAAAGAACAGATTGAGCCACTGAACAGTACACACATGCTGTAATAAATAGCTATTAGCTTTTACGCCAGAGATGAAGTAATTTGGTAAATGCCCCATGAACCTTTTATATCCGCGCTCAGATTTTGTTAGCAATCAATCTATCAAGGCTGATTCAACTTCTCAAATAAGTGAATTAGCCAGTAGGTCCTATTACTTTACCGCATATCTCGAAACTAGGATTCAGTATAGTCCAGGGTAGTAGCTTCAACTGTCCCACGATGAATGTGACTCATTGCTTTGTATTTGAACAAATTCTTGTCCCAACTAAATGAGCTTAAAAGGTGTTTATGTATTACTAAAATTTTACGTTAACTTGCAGATTAATTCTCTACTGAAACCTTTTTTGTCTCAGTTTCGTTTCCCTGTTTTCTTATTAATTCCTTACTCTGACGCCATTTCTTTTCCATGTTTATCTTAGGTGGTCATAATTCTCGATTTAATTCTTTATCCTTTGGTCCAAATGGATATCCTGTTGTATATTTACAAGATAATTCATCTTACTTATTCCACATAGAAAGTCGTATTTGGTAAGTTTAAATCCTTTTAAGCTGTTAATAATAATAATGATATTAAGAAGATCGCAACTCTATAGAGGTTGAATGTACAATGGGCTTTCCCTCAAAACCGGATGGTCCTAGGTTCCATCCCCAGTAGAACGATGGGTACGTACTGATGAAGAGTCCCAAAATAGGACGGAACAACTGTTCAGTACTCCCTTGTTTTGCAGTGATTCTCTAATTGATGTCCATCTCGAATGCCCAACTCATCACTTCTGATTCAGTTTCCATTCAATGGAGTGCCCCTGTGTGGCACTTGAATGTCTCCTCAACGCATATCCGATCCGTCTCCGTTTACCTCTGCATATTTGTTGGGCAATTGGCTGTTTGGTTCGTTTGCTAGCAGAGTTCCTTGTAAGTTGCTTATCTTTCGTATTAAACAAAGGCGGCTGGTGATGAAAGTCTGAAATCTGTTGAAAGAAATGTCAAAGTGCTTCACAAAGTCTACAACGTTGAGATAGGGCATTAACTGTCATTGTAGAATCCGTTCGACAATGATGCGTAGTTTTTTAATTTGAACCACTCATTACTTGTTTAAACTGAATCCAGCATACATCCGCTCCACTTCTCTACCTTATGTTCAGTAAGTTGCGTTTCCAGTTTCTTCAGATTGGAGTGTAGTCTACTTGATTTTCTCGGTGTGCCCATCTGTTGGAACCAACATTGCCCTGTGTTTAGCCTTGTTGCTGCTGGATTCAGCATAGAACTTGGCACCGAAGTGCAGCAGTTCGAGTTGCCACGATTTAGCCTTGTGCTTCTACACGCTGTTTCTAATCATCGAATCATTGAAATCCCAGAGGTCTGTGAAGAGTTCTGCGTTCTAATCCATTATTCCAGGAGCCTACTGACTTATGATGAGTTCTCTTCCTGTGTTAGCTGACATAGGGTCAGGTTGGAAAAGAAAGCTAGTAGTTGTCAAACCAAAACATAGCTTCATCAGTCAATGAAATCCACAACAGTTAGTTTAACCACCTGCCACGTAAGGAGGTGTAGACAGCTGTCTGATCGGGGTCCTCGGGATGGTAAAAACCAATGGCTGGAAGCAATCGGTGATAAGGCTCAAATCGTTCTCAATGGCTGGTTCAGATGTGTCCACTCCTTGTGACTTACAATATTCAACAAAACTATATTGTTCTGAGATATTACTATTCTTGTTCCCTTACACCTCTTTTTACTGTTTCTGCTTTGCATTTATTTTTAATTTCGTCTCTTGCTTTGTTTGCTAATTGGAGGGAGTGTGGCGACTCAAACTGCCGCATATCAGTGGAAAGTTCTGTGTTGAAACCAGTCAGTCAGTCTCTTCCTGTGTTATTTGCATCAAGCGTGGCATTCATATTGGCCATCAGGATTTTGACTTCAGCATTTAGAATTTCTTGTCCGTTACTGTTTACAGTTGTCTACAGAGGTCGTCCTCTTTCTCTTGATTTGCGTTATTTGTAGGCGCTTATCATTGGATAATTTTTCGTTCCCTTCCTTTTAAGTTGAATCTTGGTGTCATGGTTGTGAAATGAAATGGTCTCCATTGGATTAGAGTTTTGATGCTGTTGGTGGTGTCATACTAACTAGATTATCAGTTTGTTAGTTGTTATCTCCTTGGCAACTTGAATGGATTATTTACGCTGCAGTTAGCAATTTTGTGAATCTACTTCTTTTTTATCAGCTCTCATAAATTCCTAGCACCTCTATACCAATCTTCTTCTGCAATTTGAGCAGTCTTACCATTCGTGATGCTGACATTTCATGTCCCTATTCTTACTTTTGTTTTTATCGAAGTTATACACATCAGTCGGCTGGCTTCCTGAAGACTTTTACTAGCTGGTGTCATTTCACCTCCCTGATGTCGGTGTAGAATAAGTTTTTCTTTAATATTTTTTATTTCGCGCCTTGAAGTTTCAGTAGAGATTGGGTCGATTTTGCAAGGTAGGATCTTTAGCAACACTCTCAACAGTCCTTCTTTTTTGTGCTTAGGACCGGCTAGTAAACTAGTTGATGTCGTTAAATAAGAGCGATAGAAAAGAGTATTACTCTAAGAATGACTTCATTGGGATTTATCAAGAAATTCCCACGAGAAAATAAGATATATCAGTGATGGTAGCAATATAACATTGTTACGTGATGGCTGGAAATTAAGTGCCAACGTTGTATTCCAACTGTTTTCAGCTGTTTATCTCTAGAACCTCGGGATATACAAATTTAATGTTGACACCTTGGTTTGTCAAAGTTAACTTTGAGTCATTGATTGCTCTCTGTTGACACTGCATCTACAAACCACCCCAATTCTATGATACGTATTCAAAATATTGTATTGTACAACAGGGTAAATCTAATAATCCTAATGGACGTAGTTAGCACAGTGTTTTGGTGGTCTTTTTCTCAGATTTGTGTACAATACTTCTTTCATGTTTAGTTAATAACATTTAAGGTGTAAACATGAAATTCTTCTCATGATTTCATCTCGTATACACCAACGGTTAGACAATCAAGCCGTCGCTCAAATCTTATTTCTCTGTCTATTTTTATTTCCTATCTCTTGCATTTTTAATACAATTTATAGGATTGAATTGTTTGATGCTTCGGATACAGCGCGTTATCAGTTCGCTGTGAACGTTGCACGTGGTTCGCCTCCAGGTCCATTATCTGCTTGTCAACAGTTGAGTAAAATAGTCAATAGTGGAGGGAAGTTGACCTCTTCCACTGGTTCAAATTCAAGTCTTATGTAAGTTTTTATAACCGTTTCTAACCTTTCAACTTTTTTCACCTTGGCTACCTCACCGATGTCCATGGGTCGTGCAGTGTTAACCAGCTTTAGTTGCTGAGAAATGTGGTCTGGGACACTGTCGACCAGCACTAGGGGGTCTCCTTCCGGTTCTAGCCTCGTGACACGGGACTGCTGCATCGCCAACTGCGTGTTTGTTGAGCTGTCGAACTTTGCCATCAGTCGTCCAACTAATATCTTCCAGGTCTCCATCTCACCTGACCGCTCCACACTATCGTACACCGCCTTTGCTTGACCTCTCAACAGCGTCCCAAGCACGACCGCCTTCGCCGCTGAAACATTGGCGCCCACCAACTTAGCGATGGCATAAAAGTCCCACAAAAAGCTCAGTATGTCTCCTTCCTCGAAAGCAGTCGGTCACTCAATGTCATTTTTCCTTGTATACTTAGTCATAATAATGTTTAAAGGATGTTTCTTTCATCTGCCAATTCAATGCTGAATTGGATCTGTTCGGCTGCTGTAATTCGACAATCCATATAGGTCAGTGGTAACGTCGCTGACTACAGCACTGAATGATGTAGGTTTGAATCCCGGAGGATACATGAGTTTCTTCAAGTTTGCAGATATGCCTTGCTGACGAGTGCCAACAAGCATGCAGCGTAGGTCTTCCCAGATCGACTTGGTCCTCACAGTTTTCATGTTACGATTCTTTCTCCCGTACGTCTTTGATCATTTTAGTTTCTCTGAATTTCTTCTCTCTATTTTGTGTGTCCTGTATGGAGTGTGGCAAGTGGGACTTCTGCACTTCTATGCAAAATTATATACATTAAAATTCAATCAATTATTGTAATCTGGTTGAAAATAGTTTTTTGCAAGCATACGTACTACCTGCTGTTTCACATGGGTGACTGACATTTGTACTTACCTTCACTAAAAGTTGTTTTAATATCTTAGTGAATCTCTTCCCAGTATGGTACACTGTTACACTATTGTAAGTGTTTAACTACAGTAATTTTTCTCTCTTACGTCACAGTTTCCCGGCTGAACAAAAAAGTTGGTATGCCTTTCAGAATACAAAGCTACCTCACATATCAGAATGATCAAGGTGGTTATGTGGCGTTTTCTTTTGATATCCAACTGCATGTGTTTGTTCTTCCAACCTTTGTACCTTCTGCGTGGAAAGTTTTATCACAAGTCTGCTTTCAAAAACAAAGTTCAGAAAACGTTATACAATTACCATTGATACATTATCCCTTAAATCTATCGTTAATTCCTCCGGCTGGGTCATGAGGTAAATTAACCTTCCTAGATGTCCAGCTTTCAAGACTTACAGATGAAACTCTACAAATATCAATATACTGCAAGCGAAAACGGGATGGACAGCTGACAAACTTTTTACAGAAGGGCCGATGTTCCGCAAAACCTAAATGTGTCGAAGAAATAGCCAATTGTAAAAACCTGAAATTTAAGAGAAAGATATACTTAGCGAAGTCCTGTGAAGTCGTCTACCGAGAGCGATTTGAAGAAGGCTAATTGTTGCATCTCTACACCTCCCCCGCACAAACCCTCTTGTTCACCGAAATGTCAAAGACGAGATCTCACTTAGCGGTTGGATTAATCGTTCGGAGTTAAGTACATAGGCAGTACCAGCAGGACATTGCCCAGACACACCTACGAACAAATACCAGCATGATATGTGAAAGGAGGACGCAGAACAGTCAGCACATCATTTCTTGAGCACATTATTACTTCTGGTTTTTTCTCAGCATAAGCAGGAGATTTCATCCAGTTTTATAATATAAAGTACAATCAAGCCATTCAAAAGGACTTCGCTGACATTTTCTTCATACACCTCTTTTTCTACCATGGCCTTGGCGCTAATTTTGTTTTTCTTATGTTTTGTATAGTTAACCCTGTGTAATACTTTTAATTCTAAAATTTCAATTCATTTCTGCTCCTTTTTTCTTCTGTTTCCTATAAATTACTTCCAAATGACTATTCATCACTTAGCTACTTGACTGTCAACTAGCTCGATTACGTAAGATTACTCACTGTTTCCTTTTGCACATTATAATATCTCATACACTTCGATTTATCCTGACGATAACCTCTTACGTATGATGTCAATTTACACTGTATATATATATATATATATATATATATATATATATATATATATGTATATATATGTTTTCTATTCTTTTGCTTTCCTAGTGGAACATAAGGCTTAAAGCTAGAGCTTTGGAGATTCACTAGTGGTTTTATTTACACAGGGTGAGGTTGTTAGTCCCCTTCGCCCAACCTTCTCTTTTTCCCTGCCTAGCGAGATATAGGGGTGCGTCGTCCAGGGATCGAATCTCGGACATTTGGCGTAGTTGGCAAGCGTTCTATCACTGAACCACCGACGTATAATCTTGTATACAGCTTTCGAGTGCAGTTATGAAAAGAGATGACTTTGCCGACTTATGTGATTTGAATTAAATCACATAAGGATTTTCTATATCTTCAGTTATTTGAAACGTCTATTTATCTATTTGTTCTTTAATATTCTGTTCATATAGTTCTGCATCATCAAGAAGAATTTCAAATCAGAACTTCCTTGAATCTCAAACACAACTTGCTCTTGCATTTGGATCTTCAAATGAATATCGTTACTGGCTAACAAGATGGTTCCGTCAGCTTATTGAGGATAGTAAGTTGTTATTAATGTATTTCATATTGATGCGTCAGTACACACACTCTATTCATACATATTACACAATTTTTATGAACTTATCAATAAATACCCACTAAGTATCATTGTAATGTAGAAATTATTTGATATAGTTTCAATGTGTTCAACATCTTCAACAGATGTAGTTGAATTCTATGACTATAATGATAATGATAGAGTTCTGAGAGTCTCTCCTAAAGTAACTGTGACTGACATGCCAAATGGTCCAGTAATTTTTATTGTTCTCTTATCTGAACAGTTCAGTTGCTAAGATCTCATTTTGGTAACTATATTGTATAGCTTCGTAGATAAACTGTCCATTGTTTGAAGAAGACTGTGTGCTATATACATGCGCCTCTCCGTGATAATGTTTA